GACGGTTGACCTGGAGGAGACGAATGATCTTCTCGATGCCGTTAACGATGAAGTATCCACCCAGCTCGTCGGACTCTTCTTTCGCCTTGACCAACTGCGCTGGCGACATGCCTTCCAGCTGGCAGCGGTTCGATCTCAGCATGACGGGTATGCCGCCGAGATCCACGACGTCCTCGTTCCAATCTCCGTTGTTGACCCTCCACTCCAGCCGTGCGCGCATCTTGCCGCGGTATGAAGCATGTCGTTCGCGGGCCTCGGCGGGATAGATGTTGCGGTTCTTGAGCGCGACCTTGTTCGAAGGCGGCAGGACGGGCTTGTCGAGGAAGACTTCTGATATGCGCAGGTAGAGACGGTTCCTCTGGCCTGCGTCTTCGGGGGATGCGTATGGGTCGCCATCGACAAAGATCTTGGTGCCGATGTCTTTTATGCCCTGGTCGAGTTGGCCGCCGCGGGTGAAGATGGTGTTGAACGAGTTGATGTGGGGGTCGACGGCAGCCGCGAGCATAGGGTATGCCGTCTTATCCTTGGGCGGGTTGCGGAACAGGTCATGCCGCCTGAGGGTATCAAACTGGATATGTTAGCCTGGCATATTCGTGTCGAAAGTGCTCTCTTGCCTTGGTCGACCATTCCTGAGGGCTGTCTGCCCGTGCGGGAGGCGCCATGATTCCGTATGCGGCTATTACGGTGAATGTAAGATTAGGGCGCAATCAAGCGGCATGCGCAATAGTATATCAAAGAATGTGAGTGTCGCGGTCGCAAGCTGCAGCGCGATTGAAGATGCGACGCTGCGCTCGAACTTTTTTACTAGACTAGTCGGATCCATGGTTGGGCTACCCCTGCTAGCGCGCTGGCCAAAGTCACACGCCGCGGCGGCTCCATCACTCTGCTGCAGCGTGAACCACTCCGGGCTTTCCTTAGGGCGGCACAGCTCTGCTCTCTACTTCCTCACGGCATTGCCTGCGCTCTTTGCCCCCCGACGCATCCAAGGAGACGTTGTCCATTTGCCTGTTGCTGCCAATAAGACTACGGCGATCGCGCCTACTACATGCCCCGCAGCAAGGATCAAGGTTCCCAGACTTCCCTCCATCGCCCGTACATCACCACTCCTCCCGACCAGACGACAACTCCACCGAGTCAGCCCCTGCCCTGACGACGGCCATGGCGAACCTCTTCCGCCGCATCTACGACTGGCTGCTCCGCCTGTTCTGGTATGCCTACCTGTCCTTTCCTACTGACCCCAATGCCCACCTGGCTGCCTGATGCGCCATTTGATACTCGCCCAACTGCTCAGCTTCCGCCCAAGAAAAAGCAAACTCACCGGCGACGATAACATGGCGCTCCTGCTAACCTGCGATACCATCCAGGGCGACTGAGATGGACATTACCATGATCGGGTTGCAAAACGCTGGCAAGACTTCGCTGTTGAGAGTTCTGGCGGTGAGTATCTTCCTGATGCGGAAAGACCCTCCTGCGTCAACATCATCAACTTTGATGAATGCGAGCTGACCCATCCGTTCTAGGGAGGAGAGTTTACTGTCGAGTAGGTCTACATCCGTCCCGAGTTGCGCAAGCCGGCGGCGACGTTGTTTCATCCGTGTCCCGATGCTACTGCTTTGCGCAACCTCGGGCGCCATCGTAGTCGGGCCCTGCGCTGACTGGCTCTAGCTCCATCCCGACGGTTGGCTTCAATATGAAGCGTGTCCAGAAAGGTCATGTAACCTTGAAGTGGTGAGTGCCTTCCATCTTCTCCCTGGTCACGCATGTCCGGCTCTTGCAGCGCCAAGCCCAGCCTTGCGGGGTGCAGCGCAATCTACTAGCCTCGAGGCGCACCTGCTGACCAGCGGCAACAGTTGGGATCTCGGAGGCCAACCTAGGTTCCGTTCCATGTGGGAGCGATACTGCCGCGGTGTGAACGCTATCGTGTACGTCTCCTCTCATGTCATGGTGGGGTGTCGCTTATCGTCATAGGTTCATCGTCGACTCCGCTGACAAGGAGGCTCTACCCGTCGCTGGCGAGGAACTGAAGCTCCTACTGGAGAAGCCTGCGCTGGAGGGCATTCCTCTTCTCGTCTTGGGCAACAAGTCCGACTTGCCCAATAAGCTTTCCGTCGACGAGCTGATCGAGGCGCTCGACCTCAAATCAGTGTCGCACCGGGAAGTGAGCTGCTACGGCATCAGCGCAAAAGAGGAAACCAACCTCGATGCCGTTCTCCAGTGGTTGATTGCCCGAGCCAGCAAGTGAGGTATTATGTTGTTCGTATTCGGTCGACGTAACGTGACCGCGACGGTCAGGTGCCGCTCGCAACGCATTCGACTGGGTTTGGTGTTTTCGCAACTTCACGACGCCGACGTGCCTACGTTCTTACGAATTACGGTCGTCAGCTTTACATGACATCTTTAATGATTCTTACGACTTGATGGAAGAAAAGACGGGCAGATCGCTCTGCAGGCTAGCGATGGCCATTCCAGTTCCCCAGCTCGACACATTTACTTCTTCTCATATCATTATGATGGCGACTGCCCCTTCTTCATCCTGTATCATCCTCTTTGTTTCGATTTCCAGCGAAGACGTAGCGGCTAAGAAAAGACGGAAGATTTTGGTCCAGGTATGATTGACATGTATGGTTGCGCGCGCTTCGTCTCTTGTTCGGCTCCATGAGGAGTGACCTGAGTTGTAGCGAAATAATGGTATCCTCGTCTCTGTCATGTGTCGCCCAATGCTGTCTCCGTGCTCGTGACTATCGCATGCGTCGTGTGCAGGTGCGCGGCATCTGGTTTGGTATTGACAAATCGTCTGGACGAATGTTTGTCGAGGGTTCCAGCGCAATTGCGTGCGCAAATTCGTGGTGACTCCTCTCTCCAGCGGCCTGGCCTTCCAAATCCCGTGTTGCACGCAGCTCAATGACTCCGGTACATGGTAGCGCCGCGGAAGCAGCACCTCGCGCCAAACATTGCAACGAAAAGAACGAACAAGTCCGGAGGGGAAGAAAGAGAGGATCAATGCACCGAAAGCAAAGAAGAGAACAAACAACTAAATTATTCGCACAACTCACGCACCGCGCTGGCAGAAAAACGGGGTGGGACCCAAGCAAAATCCATGGCCATGAACAATTGAACAACTCATCCTGCATTAGCGCCTCCCAGGGAATCTTGAGCAGAGCCCGTCTGATTGGTCAGACGGCGGCGACAGCAATGCGAACCCTTGTCGCAGAGCTGGGAGTGGAATGGCAGGATGGATTGGCAGCCGAAGAGCTGGAGGGGTGCACGGGGAAGTGGGTGGGATGTTGCGATGGGGATAGGGATGGTATGGGTTGAGGGTTTGTGGCGTTGGAGACGGTGGGTGTGGCGCTGAGGTGAGGGGTGGGGTGGGGTTGGGGTTGATGGGGTTGAGGTACAGTACTTGATGCTACTTTTGTAAGAGAGTTTGCACGGAACACCAATTATGAGAGGATTGCGTTGCGAAGCATTACATGTTGAAGCATCCGGCAAGATGTAATGTGGTTGTTGATAGTTAATTCTGTCTGGAAGACTCACGCGGCATCATCATCACAGAAGGCACAAGTCGCAAAGGTTCTACTAATACAGCTTTGGTGATACAAAGAACAGACCACCCTCGAGTATATCCCACAAGCACCGTACAAGACGCGCAATGCACCCATCTCACGATGTCAACGGCTGAGCGACCACGCAACGCAAAATCTCATGCGCACTGCTGACCCGAGCAAAGGGCAATGTCTCGGAACCACTGGAACCACGAAGAGGCTGAACTGCGTACCCTTGGCGCAGACTCGACACAACGTTGCGAAAGCAACAGGCGCAGCAGCTCTCGTGATGCTCAAGAACCACCGTCGGCCGACTAAACTCCCTCCAAAGTCTTACCCTACTAATCAAATCCACCCGAACAACATGCGCAGCACGACATTTTGCCGCACAATCCTCCCATCTCATCTTCTCGAACAAGCTAGAACGCGGACAGCCCATCATCCATCCCCACTGCGCCTCCTCACCCACAATCAGCAGTACCAAAAAGCCTTCCCAGCGCACCCAATAAGCCCAAAGCACACATCGTAATCGTCACCAGCTTAGCCCTCTCGTCTCCGCTTTACCCGTTTAAAGCCTAGAATGCGGGCCCCAAGCCATACTCCGGGCAGCGTTCTTGGCTGAATTGTGGCTGAGCACCAACGCCCAAAGACACATCATGTCCGTGTTGAGCGGATATCGTCATAAGCAGTCAGCCAGAACCCTGTTCTTCCTGCGGATTCGTTCCATCCCATCTCCGTCGCATCTTTCTGAACTTCTATTATTTCCAGCATTTGAAACAATCGTCGCATATCGCTATAACACACAGATTTGAATATTCATCATGGTAGACCTTGAGATCGCGCATCCGCACCACACTCCTTACCGTACGAGACAGTACTACGGGCCAGATTATGGCGACAGGTACGTTTTCATTCCATGCGCTCATCATCGTCATCCTCCATCTCTCCTTGTCCATCATTCGCTGCAAAGTGGCTGTGCGACACACTTTAGCTGTGCAAGCGGCGCAGTTAGTCCATGAATTTTCTGGGGAAAAGGCACGCTTGGTGGATTAACGGATCGGCTTGGTCCAGGCTTCGCGTTGGTGCAGATGGGTGTTTGCGACAGACGACGTCACAACGTCACTGCGCCCAGCCTGGCGCCCGCATCACTCGGCATCTGCGTACTGCTAGATGGCCTGCCTTGTGTGTGGCCCTTGCCACGGAAGGTTTCTTGGTCTTAATACGCTGCTTTCGTTCTTCTCTTACTTTTGTTCTTCAACCACTCGAACCATTACGTCTCTCACCACTCCACTGTTTGCGCTTTTCGATCACGTCACCTTGCGCATCTCGTTACTGTCAATTGAGAGAGATATTGGAGACGCGACACACAAACACACAAACACACAAACACAGCTTCTAACACGCCATGGCTAGGAGGTGCTATAGCAACAGCCGGGGCTACTACCGCTGCAACTCAGCATGGAGTAACTGGGTTCGCTGGGTCGTCCTTGTAGTCGTCGTCTTGGGCTTCCTACTCCTCTTCGTACTATGCTCGTAAGTCCCCCGTTCATCCTTCCCCCAACCAACCCTCCCTTCCCTTCTCCAATCGCCATCCCCAACCCCCATCCACCCAACACACCACTAACACCCCACAGCTGCCTAACCGCCCGCCGCCGCCGCAAAGCCGGCCGCCAGCCCTTCTACGGCACAGGCTGGGCCGCGCGCCCAGGCAACAACAACGCCTACGGCCAAAACACCACCGCACCCTACTACAACAACCAACACAACCCCGCGCCGCCTTACTCCGCCGCTACCAATAACACCAATGGAGGTTACTACGGCGGCGGAGGCGCAAACCAGGGCTACTACGGTCAGCAAAACGGCGTCGAGCTGCAGAGTCCGCAACCAACATACGGAGGCGGGTATGCGCCGCCGCCGGGGCCGCCGCCTGCGAAGGTTTAAGCGTTGTACGGTTGATGATTAGAAGGCCCCTCGGAGATTGAGATGGGGTTGGATGGCGTTACGGAGATTGTGAGAATTGGACTGCGTTACGATATGTGATGAACGAGCGAGGAAGGGACAGGATGGTTTCCTTTGCTGTTGAACACGCTTGATACCTCTTTTACGCTTTGATGCTACTATTTCTCTTCTGTGTATATGCGGAGGATGTAATCTACTATCATATGTTTCACCAAAACAGCATACAGCATAACCTGATTAGAAGAGCTGTTTCGTGCACATGTCTTGCCCGTTATGTAACACACGGATGGACAATTCAGCTAGCCCAGTACGACACTTCATCATTAATTATTGATCGCGGGTGTTCAAATATAAAAGCTGCATGTATTCCATCCATTCATGTTACTCTTGGTTTCCCATTTTCAATACTCTGCGTAGTCCCGTCAACTAATTCACAGGCAACACCAGACCTTCGTAAAAAGAGCATATGAACACGCTAAGCATACACCTTTTCAAATGATCCTGCAATGCTACCTATTCTCCAAGCCCTGATCTCTCACTCCCAACCAATCTAACCCACCAACCTCAAACCACTAGCCGGCGCACCGATCTGTGTGATGCCGTCGATCCTGCACACAGTGCCCTTGTATCTGGCGTGGTACTTGGCACCGCTGTATGGGCTGGTAACCGAAGGCATGCCGCTGTAGATAGGTGTGAAGCTAGCAGCGCAAATGTCAAAGTCGGCGAATTGATCAAAGTCAATTTCGATGACGTCGCTGGGGTTTCTCTCGGCGACCGTCTTGACGCGGTTAGCTTGCTCCTTCATCTTGGCGTTGCCGGTGCGGTCGAGCAAAGCGTTGGCAAAGTTCAGCGCCGTGTTGAGCTGCTTGTTCTTGTGCGCAAACATCATGGCTGCTGAGAGAGGGATCGAGTTGTGGGGACCCTCGAGGTCGGGGACGGTGAAGTAGGCAGAGAGTTCGAGGGCGCGCTTCTTGTCCGCGTCAGAGAGGGCGGAGATGTCGGTAGCGCCGTTGAGCAGCTTGCGGCGCTCCAATTCGATGGACATGGCAAGAATGTATTGGGTAGCCGTGTTGATTGCCTTCTTAGCCTACATCAATGTTAGTATGCGTTGGCTGGATGTATGTCTGTAAACTTACATCAGAAAACTCAGCTTGGGATGAGACGACGTTGACCATGATTAGCTGCAACAGGCTCTTAAGGACTGCAACACCCTCCTCCAATTTGTTCTTTTGCAAGAACTGCTTGCCAGCGGTCAGGTCAGTCGATAGTGACGACTCCAGATCGCGTGGGATGATGGGCAGAATCTTGCGTGAATCGGTCTCGTCCACCGTTCTCCGTACGTAGTTAACCAGCGATGGCATATTTGGTGTCGCTGGCAAGTATGTTCGCGTGGCTTGGTAGATCTCCTGGAAACGCTCCTCGAGAGGAGCAAAGTTGACAGCACCGACTTGTCGGTTGAGTAACTGCATGGCAGTATCGAACGATCCAGCAGCAATGTGATCCGCCGCCAAGGGTGAGTTGCGTGCCCAGAAATCTGCTTCGCTGCTTCCTGCACCAGCATCAGCACCTTCGACTTCAACGAAGTCGTCGTCTGCCTCCACATCGCCATCGTCACCCATGTCCCAGCCACCGATATCGTCGTCCTCGCCGCCTCCAAGTTCAGCAGCCGCACGGGTAGGCTCGGCGTCGCCCATAAGATCCTCGTCGCCAAAGCCGTTTGCTGTTGGCTCTTCGGATCCAATGCCTTCGACTTCGCCTTGGAGGGCCTTTTCGAATACAGTCGAAGAAGCTGCGCGCGTTGGCCAGTTGGCTTTGTGAGTAGGCACGATAGGCTTAGCAGGCGCCGAAGGAGTACCTATCGAGGGAAGGTTGATCTGCTCCTCCGATACGCCGGCAGCTTCCAGTATCGACTGTGCCTGTTCGTCGAGACCTTGTGCCTTGGCAGTGGCATACGCGAGGGGGTATAGATCGAGCTCCTGGAACATCTCTATCCGGTTTTGTACATCGCCTAGGTAGAGTGCGTTCTGGAATCGTGCCGTCATGTCACCGCGGTGCTCCGCGATCTTAGCCATGCGCTTCAACTTGTCCTGATCTCCGGTAGTAAGGTACAGGAAGGATAGCTTGTCGAAGTTGCGCAGCTTCTGGTAGGTCATCTCTACGGTTTGGTGGTTGCCGTGTGCTAGAGCTTCGGTGCTCAGCCGTTGCCAGAGCTTTGGTCGGTCAAGCTGCTTAGCCATCTCAACTGCAACCTCCAAGTTGCCGCATTCGATAGCGAGCTCGAACCGTGTTTGAGGATCCTGCACGAATTGAAGAGCAATCTCAGGATAGCCCTTCTTCTGCAGGTAGGAGATGATGCTCTGTCCAACCAGGCTTGAGGTCTTGATGATGTTGAGCATCTCGTCGTAATTGCGCTTGACTAGGGCGAGCTTGAAACGATATTCGGTGGGGTCGATTTGAAGGATCTTGGGCTTCGCAGCACGGTCTAGGCAGTATACATTGCGACCCTTAACCCTCACAAGGTATACTGTTTGCTCCAACGTGCGTACTATGCCATTGTCGCCGTTCATCAGACTGTATTTGATATGGTTCAGCGTGGAGTAGAGAAGGACACCCGTGTCATCGAAGATTGCACTCTTGATCCGGATGGTCTCGTGCAGAGTGCTAACTTGCTCCAGGTTCTTGTTCGCAATGGTAACGTTGTGTTTGCTCAGCAATGCGACGTGCAGTCCATCTGATGACCAGACGACGTACTTGACGCCGTTGACAGAGAGCTCAGCAAGGTTCTTCTTGGCCTGGATGTCGTAGAGAACAACGGAAGTAGGGGTGATCAAGAGGAGATTACCAGTACCGCCAAAGTAGATGTCGGTGGTTCCGTGAGGGGGTTTGATGGTCTTTGTAGTAGAATTGCTGAGATCCTTAATATCGATTTGTTGGTTAGACTGGTTGAAGACCGCAAATCGATTCCTAGCCACGAATACAGCCGAGGTACCGGATCCGCGCTTGGTGTCGGTCGGTTCTACCGCTCCTGAAGCGTCGCGCGGAAGGCTGATCAGCTCATATGTTCCGCTGTCGGCTGGAGATGTGACCAAGATTGAGCGTTCGGCAGGGTTGTAGGACAATGTTCGTGGAGGTACCCAGGCGCTTCCCAGCTTCTTGAGAGACAGCATCGATGGGGACTCGATGTTCTTCTGGAAGTCATAAGACCGTACGTGCTTCTCCTTGGTTATGTAGAAGAGGTTGTTCTGGTAGACGGCAGACGCAGGTCGCTCACGTTCCAGCTTGAACACCATCACACCGTTGTCGTGACCGGCAGCAAACAGGTTGATCTCAGGATGGGCTGCGATGACCCAGAAGCGGTCGTTTTCGCGCTTGAAGGACTGAACGGATGTACGCCTGTTGAGATCCCATACGCGAATCGTCTTGTCTTCTCCGACGGACAGAATCAAGTCCTGATGTGGGTGGAACAGACACGCAGACGCGTTCTGGAAGTGACCGCGGCAGGTGTCAACCTCCCATGCCTTTGTTTCTGACATCCTCCACAGCTTGACGAGGCGATCATCACCAGCGGAGACGATCAACGGGAGCGTTGGGTGGAATGCGACCCAATTGACGCCTCGGTCGTGGCCTTCGAGGACGAACTTGACAACGGCATCGGTGTTTCCGAACATGTCCGCCTGGTTCTGGTTCGCGCGCGCCATCTGGTCCTCGAATGACATGGCTTGTGGTGCCGAGTGCTTCTTCCTGAGCCCAGAAATATCCCAAACGCGAACCGACTGATCGAGCGAGGCGGAAACGATGAGGTCTTCCTTCGGGTGGAATTGCGCGCACATGGTGTAGTGGTTATGACCGGTCATAGTACATACTTCGGAGGGTTAGGTGTGTCTTTGCGAGGGATGCGACGGACTTACTCAGTGATCCTATGAACGTTAGTTGTGTACCGAACAGCAATTGAGGGTGTCACTTACGGTTTTGCCAATTCCATATACGAATGGTCTCTGATTCGCGTTAGCCATTGCACATCCAATCCATAGCATGCGCTTACGGTCGTCGGAACTACTCAATATCCATGGCAGCTCGTGGTGGAAGAAGACGGTCCGGACATAGTCCAAGTGGCCGTTCAATGTGAAGAGACATCGCCGAGTCTGGTATGACCAGACCTTGATCTTGTAGTCGTCGCCACCAGACACGAATCTGTGCAGTCTCAGTATGTTGCTGGCCCTCCCAAGGTGTCGGGATGCTCACAATGGCTGGGTCTTGTGGAAGTCAACGCCGCGGACCGGCCCGTCGTGTTCTTCGAAGCGATCTATAAGGGTACCCATGCGGTAGTCCCATAGTTGGATGGTCGACGAGTGTAGCGACACCAGGATCCATGGCCTGGGAGCGGTCAGCGGGGAAGGGAGCCGCGTGGTAAAGGTATGAGCTACCTCTTGGGGTGAAAGGCAATGCCTTTAGCACGCGAAGACTTGGACTCAAACTGCCTGGAATTAGCTAGCTACACGGTCGCACAGATGAGAGCTGCTTGCCTTGGTCAACATCGAGGGAGAGGAGGCCATGGCGGAATTGGGGACGAAGCCGCAGCTTCACTGTCGTCTAGAGTGGCCTCAATGCAAGAGACAGCAGGCGCGAAGAGACACGGGTATAAGGTAAGGAGAAAGAAACACGGTGTTGACTATTATCTTTGGTATTGCTGCCTGCGTGAGCTGCTCTTGCTAATGTTCGACATGCCACGCAACATTCGGATTAACCGCCTAACCGTCCTGGTCTCTAGCGCGCCTTCCCCACCAAGGTCACGTGAGATCTGCCAGACATCGCCTCAACTCCGTCTGAAGCGCTCGGGGCCTGTTTCAATTTCAAGCGAACCTCGAGTTCCCACACTAGTTGCCGTAAGGCAGAGCCTCACTTCCTGACACCTGACACTGCCTCATCTCAATTTCGCCGCCGCTGCGTGGCTCGGCTCCCCTGGTCTGGCGTCCTGCAACGAT